GGGTGTTACTCTTCAAGGGAACTGTAGGACCCCAGTCTTTTCTCTTTTTACTTCCTAACATAAAGTGAGCAGTCTTACTCTACCATGTGCTGCCATAATATGCTTTCTCTACAGAGGCACAAAAGTAATGGAACAAATTGATCATGTGCTGGAAGCTCCAAAACTGAGTCAAACCTTTTTTACAAGGTAGTTATCTCAGATGTTTGTTGCAGTAATGGAAAGCCAACTAATACATATGGGTAGTAAGGAACCATTGGTTGTTGAGAGAGTGACACTCATCTAAGTAACCCATTAAGAGTCTAAGGAAGAATGTAGAATTCAGAAAGGGGAGTCTAAACAGAAATAGTCTGAAAAATATTGCAGTAGTCTGGGAATAGGCCAATAAGGAGCTGAAATAGAGTAATCGCTGTGAAATTAGAAACAAAGGTAGTTGCAAATCCAAAATGGTTTAAGATTAACCAGAAGGAATTAAAAATGATTCTGAAGTTTAGAATCTGAGTGGATAATCACCATGGTTAGAGAAGTGAGGGAGAAAGACTCACTAATTTAAAAGATTCTGGCTTATTGTGTAAGACAAATGGATTTTAAATGAGGGTGGCCCATCTGAGTAGAAATTTTCAGTATACAATTGGACATAAGGACAAGATCAGAGAGTCAGCTACTGATACACAGATTTGAAATGATCCACAAAATAGTGGGGAGAAAAATCATGGGAGTCATTAGGAATAGAGAGTGGCAGATGGCAGAGCATCAACTTCAACATTTTGGGGCTGTTAGGTTTTTCCTCTTGATACCAAATATTTGGTATCTTTCCTGACACCACTTCAACAACTGATGACCATCCCTCATCCTGAAATTATCTGGGGGCCCCCAATAGTAGCCTCTTAGAACAGAAAAGACTCATCACTCACATCACTCAGGAAATTCCAAGAGTTTTAGAAACTGCACCAGAGATCAAGGATAGAAAGCAAATGTTCTCTAATATCACAAGGGCTAGATGCATGAGGGAGAGATGCTATGGAAAAACAATTGAGATGTAGGAGGGGAGCCAGACCAGGCAGTGTCACATAAGTAGTAGGGGAATGTGTCAAAAATAGAAAAGGACACATTTAGTTTTCTCTTGTGACACTCTAGATGTCTGCCAACTGAGGCCATATGCTGCATTGGGGTTCCTCATCTTTGGGGCTGTTAGGTTTTTCCTCTTGATACCAAATATTTGGTATCTTTCCTGACACCACTTCAACAACTGATGACCATCCCTCATCCTGAAATTATCTGGGGGCCCCCAATAGTAGCCTCTTAGAACAGAAAAGACTCATCACTCACATCACTCAGGAAATTCCAAGAGTTTTAGAAACTGCACCAGAGATCAAGGATAGAAAGCAAATGTTCTCTAATATCACAAGGGCTAGATGCATGAGGGAGAGATGCTATGGAAAAACAATTGAGATGTAGGAGGGGAGCCAGACCAGGCAGTGTCACATAAGTAGTAGGGGAATGTGTCAAAAATAGAAAAGGACACATTTAGTTTTCTCTTGTGACACTCTAGATGTCTGCCAACTGAGGCCATATGCTGCATTGGGGAATTCCTCATCTTATTAGCTAGAGCCTGCTTACTTTCCCAGCCTCTCTTGCAGCTAGAAAATGGGAGTCATAATCTAGACTTTTCCAGTCAGCACAAGTACCATGACCTCTGCATAGAGTCAGGGGTGCTGCGGGGTACATTCTGTAATAAATGGTGGCATCATCCATAGAGGCCACCAGCAGTATAAGCAGCAACATCCAGGGTGACAACACATTCCCTAAATACAACTACAGCATTATTTGGAGACTTATCCTTGGGTCCTTGTCCTCCAATCCTGTTTCTCTAACCCATCTCTTGTGTCTACCATACCATTGCCAGATTATTTGAGCCACCTAAACTTTCTCTTCCTTTTCTCCTTAAATCAGCCAAAATTGTTTCTGTTTTTTGCAAGCGAGGCCCATGACTAGTCCAAAAATGTCAACCATGTCAAAGAAAGCAGATTATTCAAGAGAGCATTGAATTTGATGATTGGATTATTGGTGAGTATAGACAGGTATCTAGAAATAGAAATAAAATCTTACTTGGAATAGAAAAGAGAGCAAATTCAAAAATAACACTTCTCTAACCACGTGTCTGAAATCAGTGTTGTGCTTACCAACAGTATGGATTTGGTTAGAGACGGCAAGAGGAATCATTATGTCCCAATTGTTACAAATATGAAGGCTATTCTTCCTGTCCTACTTTCTCATCACTGGGTCAGGATACCAGACACCCAAAAATTAAAGGAGTAGAAGCTTATGTTGGCTCACAGTTTATAGAAGTTTCAGTCTATAGTTGGCTGGCTCCAAGGCAGGGTGATATGGCAAAGGGGCATGGCAGAGGAGAAAGAGTACATGGCATGGCAGTGGGAAGGAGATAAGGACCAAGGGAGAGGAGAGGGAGGTGTACACTTCCAGGTCACATCCCTCAGTGACCCACATCCACCAACCAGCTTCCACCTCCCACCTCACATTATCACATTTAGGTATGAACTCACTGGCAGATTAATCCCCTGATGAGCATCACACCCCCATGATCCAGTCCCCTCTCCAAAGCACCACCTATGAGCACATGAGGCTTTGGGGGAGCATTTCACATATAAACCGTAGCATTTGCTAAAGGAGGAGGGTGTTCTTTGTTCCTCTAACAGAGAGACCCACTCTTAGCATCATAACCAGTAGAAGCCCCACAGGTTTGTCCAGGGGGCAATGGAAAAGTCTGATTAGCCACAAAGCCACCATGTTCTTTTTGCTCCCTTCCTTCCTCCACCTTATGAGGTAAAATATACTCTTATATTTGACATCCTAAGCTCTTCACCTTTACACCATCCTCCCTGTCTCTCTCTTCCCTCATATGTTTCCTAGTGGATATAGAACTCTCTTGGGCCACCCACATTTTATAAGCATCATATTCATTTACCTATGCAAGAAAATAGTGAAATGTTTCACTTTTAATTTCATCCACCATTTTGTCGTCCTGGCAAAATCCTAGCCTTCCTGTAGGATTCAAATTCAATATTGCTTATTCAGGAAGACATCCAAGTCCTCCATACCTCAAAATCAAGTTACATATCACACCCCTAGTCCATGGGGGATATAGTCAAAACCCACGGGAGATAATTAAAACCATGAGTAGTTTAAACCCCTACTATGTTTTTTCTTTATACATGCTACATATCTATGATAATGTTTAATGTATAAATTAGACAATAAGAGATTAAGAACGATAGTAAAATGTAACAATTATAGTGATATACTGTAAGAAAATTGTCAGTATCACTGCTCTAATGCTTTGAGGCCATTGTTAAATAAAATAAGGGTTACTTGAACACAAGCACTACAATACCACTATAGTTGATGTGATAACTGAGACAGCTACTATGAGGGTAGCTTATACAGTGTGGAAACACTGGACAAAGGGACGATTCCTGTCCCGGGCAAGAAAGAGGAGGACAATGGAGATTTTATCACACTATTCAAAATGGCATACAGTTTAAAACTTGTGAATTATTTCTCAAACTTTCCATTTAATATTTTTGGACCACTGCTGATCAAGGTGACTGAAACTGCAGAAAGCAAAACTACCAATAAGGTAGGACTGCTGTATTGCTGTTTCTGATCTGCTTCAGCAGGGCTTTCTGGACAGTTGAATGTACCTATATCTAGCTATTTGTCACATGTGTGTGGCTATGTGAATTATATCTATCTAGAACTACACAAAGATAGAAAAAACATAAAAATAAATACAAAGAGTTCTCTCCCCATATCTTTTTTTTTTTTTTCTTTTTTTTTGGACCAGGGATTGAACTCAGGTCCTTGCACTTGCAAGGCAGGTCACCGAACCGCTGAGCTAAATCCCCAGCCTTCTCCCCATATCTTAACAGATTGCCTTGTCCTCACCCCCCAGCCCAGGGTACACACCTTGTACATATATCTGGCATGCTCATAGCATCTATCGCTATTATAATTCTGTTTCAATACTCTAATTGGCTACTATACCTGCACAGTGCCTAACACATAGTAGATGCTTTGAAATACCTATTGAATTCATTTATATATCATCATATATCATCAGAAATAGTTTCTCTAATAGATAGTTTCAAGTTCCTGTAATTTCTCAGTAATGACAGGTGTAGAAGTTGGTGTTTTAGCTGGCTCATCTGAAAAAGTGCAGTTTAGAAGTCAAATGAGTGACCTGTGTCATTCAAGCTATTCCACACTGTGCCTTTTTAGGTTTTCTCTCCTCTCAGTCTCAGATTTATGCCTTAGGGAGTAAATGAATGACAGTCCAATCCATAATCTGAGATTATTTTTTCAACCAGATTTGTACTTGCTTTATTTATATGAAGTAACTGGACCTTATCATCTCAGCTATGACTGATCATTAATTTGTAAGTTCTTAAGTCCCTAAACAAGTCAAAAGCACAGTTATTATTGTAGGTCTTGAATCAGAAGGGGGAAAAACAATATAAATACACTTTATATGCACACAGTTCACATTTCTGAAAATTCTATTCAGTTTGGGCATTCAAAGCTCAGTGCTTTTTCTTATGAAAATTATCTGACTGTGAAATAACTCATAGAAAATAAGATATTTAAAAACTGCTGCTGTACTGTGGCCCTCTAAACTGTTCCCTATAATTGTTTAAGTTATACAGCTTATGACAGCACTACACAGATAGCAAGACAATAATGTATTAAGAATTAGCTAGGTGAGTTCTGTGAAGGTGGCTCTGTCCTTGCCCACCCTATGACTAGGAGAGAGTATGTGTTGACTCTGTTGTGCTTTATAGCTTTCTTGCCTGGACTCTCCAATAAATCTCCAAAACATAACCTTATGAGTTTGGGAAAAAACTGAATAATTTGAACTAGATCTATAAAAGGTCTTGACTGTGCACTTAATTCCTTATGCTGTTCTTGTTCACTTCTCTCTAAAGACAGCATTGAGTGGCACACCTTCCACCTTGGCACTTGCTGCACTGAAGCCTGGCTGCTGCCCTGCATCCTTTGCTCAGCTGGACCAACATGGATCAGGAAAAGGAGCTGCTAAAAATCACCAAAAAGCTGGAGAAGATGGTGGCCAGGAGGAGCATGGAAGGGGCCCTGGACCTTCTGAAGAAGCTAGACAGCTATCAGCTGTCCATCCGGCTGCTACAGACAACCAGGATTGGGATTGCTGTTAATGGTGTTCGCAAGCACTGCTTAGACAAGGAAGTGGTAGCCTTGGCCAAAGTCCTCATCAAAAACTGGAAGCAGCTGTTGGGTTCCCCAGGATCTCCCGAAGGAAAAAAAGGAAAGAAAAGAGAAAAAGCAAAGAAGGAGAAAGTGCTTGCTTGTTCATATTGGAAGCCAGAAGCAGCCCTTTCTTCACCCAGGGGGAAAGGAAGGGAAGAGCCCAAGAGCAGGAGAGATTCTGTGCACTCCAAGGCTTCCGGCAGCTCTCTAAAAAGGCCATCGATGAAAAGATCAAACAGCAGCAAATCAAAAGTGAAGACCCCTAAAACACCCAGCGATTCCTCGACATTTGCACCCTCCCTCTGCCTCTTGTCTCCCTGCTATCTCACAGGAGACTCTATCCGGGACAAATGTGTGGAGATGCTGTCAGTGGCCCTGAAGGCAGAAGATGATTACAAGAATTATGGAATCAACTGCGACAAGATGGCATCAGAAATTGAATATCATATCTACCAGGAGCTCAAGAGCACTGACATGAAATACCGGAACCGGGTGCGCAGCCGTATCAGCAACCTCAAGGACCCCAAGAACCCTGACCTCAGGCGGAATGTTCTCAGTGGAGCCATTTCCACGGGACTCATTGCCAAGATGATGGCAGAGGAAATGGCCAGTGATGAGCTGAGGGAGTTGAGGAATGCCATGACTCAGGAGGCCATCCGCGAGCACCAGATGGCCAAGACCAGTGGCACCAACACCGACCTTCTCCAGTGTGGCAAGTGCAAAAAGAAGAACTGTACCTACAACCAGGTCCAAACACTCAGCGCTGATGAGCCCATGACTACCTTTGTCCTATGCAATGAATGTGGGCACCGCTGGAAGTTCTACTGACAGCTCCACCCACCACGAAGCAGTGAAGGAGGTGAGGAAGAACAAGGAAGCAGCACTAAACCAGCTGACCGGGAGGAAAAAAAATGAAAATGAAAAAAATACTCATCTCTGAATGAGGCAGTAGCGATCAGAGGGAGAATTCTTTTGCCAGTTAATAATCAGTCATTCACAGTGATTGGCTAATAGGAAAGCATAACTGCTGCATCCATCAGGCTAAGAATCTGGGTTGGCAAACTTCTTGTAGAAAATCAGAGCATTATTGCTGAAGAGTCACATCTTTGACAATGAGCTGCCTGGCCTTTGCTTTGGAGCCCTTCCCTCTCATCCAAATCTCTCAATCCTTTCCTGAGTTGAAAATTACCGGAGATCTGGGGGTATAATTCAGGATAAGAATGCTTACCTAGCACATGTGAAGCCCAGGTTCAATTCCCAGCACTGTAAGAAAGAAAGGAAGAAATAAAGCAAGAAAGCAGATCAGAGTTGGGGTGTAGCTCTGGAGTAGAGTACATGCTTAGTATACTTGAGGTCCTAGTTCAATCCCTACCACCAAAAAAAAGAAAAGAAAGAAAAAGGGATGAGGATATAGTTCAATGTGAAGACCCTGGGTACAATCCACAGTAACACTAAAAAATAAAATAAATAAAAAACCCCAAGCAGGTGCAGTGGCACACATATGACTATGGTTCCAGCAGCTTGTGGGCTAAAGCTGGAATGAGGCGGAGATTAGAGCATGGCAGAGTGGCTGGGAAATTGGGTGTGACCTGTCGATCACAGCCAGGATGCACGTGCAGAGCAGCTGCGGAGCCCTGTGTGGGACACCTTGGATCTGATGTCAGAGGAGGATATAAAAAGCCGTTGACCATTGACCCATGGCCACTTTTTATTTTTGCAGTGGCCTGCTCTGCATGCAGAGCATTTTTTCTCTCTTCTTTAGAGCACTTTATTCCGCTTATTTTTCTTCTTTTACTTTCAATAAATGTTAAACTTTTACATTCTTCAGTTGTCCATCCAATTCTTTGAGTGGGACAAGAGCCTGGAAAGGAACACTGAGCACCCCATCAACTGGTAACAGGAGGATCACCTGAACCCATCAATTTGAGACAGCTTGGTACTGCAAGAATGGCTTTTAAAGAAGAAAAAGAAAAACGGATTGACACACATCTCCTCCTACCCCTGAGCCACACAGGCAGAACAGACAAAGCATTTGTCTTAGGCAAATATGAGTCCCACCCTATGTAGAAATCTCTTCCTTACTCCTTCCTTGTCTCTTTTCAAACTCTATACTACTCCCTGTCCATAGCTATCTGCAGGAGCCCTTCGAGACTGATTCCCTCTAAGAAGGGAGGTGACCCTCCAGAGCATGGGCCCGTTCAGTGAGGTTTACAGCAGTGCTCTTGATTTCCACGGCCTCTTGGATGACCCTGAGCCCCGGAAGTTACCCAGCCTCCTTCAGCCCGTCCCCTACTCCCAGACCCATCTGTGGCCTGAGCTTCAGAGGAGGTCTGCAGAGCATGCTGGACTATGATGATATCAGCTTGCTTTTTTATGCTGAGAAGGATTGCAGGCAAAGCTGGGCACTTCTAGAAAATCCTTGGGAGCATCTTTATTGGGATGTTGATGGTTTCAGTCTTTGGTGGTCCCTGGCCTTCCAGGAGCTTGAGGCCAAGTGTACTGGGCTCTGTGTTATCTAATATGCTGACATGCAGGAGCCTGTGAATTCCTAGGAGATCAGGCAAGTCACTAAGCCATTGCCTTCCCTGTTAAATGGGAGCAGATCCAACACTACTTCCTAGGGTGACTGCAGAGGCTGCTGGGTTTCCATCTGCCTTGGTTCACCCTTGCGGGTGATCACTTGAGGAAACAACATCCCCTCTGGACCTGGTTAAATCCCATCCCTCCCACCTATCATGTACCTCCTCCTGAAGAGGAAGCCATAAAAAGACTGTATGGAAGCCACCACCATTTTCAATTGTTAAGCAGGTAAAGTGGGAGAGCCCTGTGGAAAGACAGGGGAGTCTCTCACTGAAGACCCAATACCTGAAGCTCCTAAAGACTAAATGGAACTGAAACCCAGGACTTCTACTTCTTGTCATGGTGCCCGACAACACTGAGAGAGATCCAGAGCTGTATACAGTGCCCAGTCCGAGCCTTCCAGGGATTTCCAACGTGGCATGGAAAGGAACAACAGGCATAGCACAGACTCCCGCAGCAGTCAGGTTGGATGCCACTTTGGAGGTGTGCATGTTCCCACAAAGGAAAGCTGCTTAGAAACCCAGATGTTCTTTTGCCTTTAATGTGGGGAAACCTCTGAGGAGGGTGCTAAAGTGCAGATTCTGACTCCACAGGCCCATGGTAGAGATGACATTTTCCTTTCTAACAAGTTACCAGGTAACACCAATTCTGCAGGTGGCCAACAGACCATAATCTGAGAGGGGAGAGGTTCGATATCTAGATTTTTCACTATTATCTAACCTTTCATCTAAACGGTTCCACATACACAAAAAAAGAACAAAATAGTAACTACAATCAATTTAATCATGTTAATCAAAGTTACTTTAGGATGAACTTTTTATTTAAAAAAAAGACATTACATTCCACTAAGAGCTATTCCCCAAAAATAATACAGAATATTTGCTGGCTGTAATGCTGCTTTGGTTTGGGAACCTATCAATAAGGAAATTGATGAACAGATTGGATACTGTTAAAGGAATGTTGGGGCTCAAAATATAGTGCCCCAAAGGTGCTGCTTTAGACTGACAGAATTTTTTCCTTATCTACCTAGAGACAAGATCTGTCAGAGGACATATGTGCCTTCAAATATTCTTATTAAAATGTCATTATCTAGGGGAGATTAAACTCATAGCACAGAGGAAGGGACTGACAATCAGGCATCAAACCCAGAGCCCAGAAAACCTTCACCAGGCAATTGTATATTCTTCAGGACTTCTCATTCCCCCTAAAAGTCATTTGCCACCATCCTAAAATTGACTGAAAAGAGTAAAGTTTCAATCATTTGGCCCTGCTTTGAGTTTTCATATTTTATATGGCTCCATAAGCATATTAATAAAGTTTGTTTGCTATGGAACAAAACCTAGAAAAATGAAAGCTGTAGATTGAATAGTAATCCTAGTGTGGCAGAGGAGGGAAAATTTTGGTGCCATAATTTCTCTTCTTTGGTGTTGGATTAAATCATCTGAAATGTATTTCTGTACCACAGTTTAAGCTTCAATAAAAGTTTGCTTAGTTAATTTTCTAGTGATATTCAAAAAATAAAAAATAAAATAGTTTGTTTGGGTTTTCTACCATTAATCTCTGTTAATGGTTTTGTCTCCACCCTCATGACTTCATCTAATCCTAATCTCAGAATACCATCAACACATGAGTTTCAAGTTAAATTTCCAATATAGGAACTTGTAGCACATACATTTAAACCATAGCAAAGATTACATCCTTTCATAGGTTGTAACCAGCAGGGCACTAAATACAGATAAACACTATTACAACCTAACTCATGCTATTAGACTCTTATGTTTTATGTTGACCCCCTCCCCAAGAACTTTAGAAAAGTGAAACATGTAAAAGACCTGAAACTAAGCGAAGTAGCACCCACCTGTAATCCCAGCATCCCGGAAGCCTGAAGCAAGAGGATCATAAATTCAAGCTCTGCCTCTGATAGTTTAGCCAGACTCTGTCTTAACAGAAAATTTAAGGAGGCTGGAGGCCAGTGTGGAGGCCTTGGATGTAATCCCCAGCAGAGCCAAAAAGAGAATACTTGGACACACAGAAATGCAATTATGGAAGCATTCTAGGCTAGGCTATGCTTTGTTGTCAAATTACCCTTGGAAGAAAAGAAAGGGAAAAAAAAAGAGAGAAAAGAAAGGAGAGATAGGAGGAAAGGAAGAAAGAAGAAAAAAAAGAAAGGCAAGTAGGCTTAATTTGCTTATGATGCTTGTCTGTCTAAAGCCAGCAGGAGGCTCTGCTCTACTGTCCTCAGAGACACAGGTTTCTGCCTCCACCATGTGCAACACAGGAAAGAGAACATGGTAAATTTCAGTCTCTTGAAGACTTTCACCAAGAAGTAACACATGACACTTCTATTCACCTTCTGACCAAAGTAGGTCACTTGGCCATGCACAAGTTTAAAGGAAAAGTGCTCTGTCACCCTCTCCATGTGCCCGAGAAGAGAATGAAATGATAGGTGAACTTTCCAATGACCATAAAAGGTGTTGAAAGAGTTATATCAGCTAAAGCAAAGATAGCTCAGGCCAGACAATTCAATAAAGAATCTAGACCCCACCAGACACTTGAGACTGCTATGTATAGAATAGGGGGAAATTTTTTTTTAAAGTACATTGTCTCTATATCTCTTCAATATTGTTAGAATTTTATATCCTAATGCAAAGTTGGGGTTATTTTATATCCTATCATTGTATTATTTGGGCTAGGTTCATACTTAGACAGGCAGACTTAGTTGAGCACTGAAGCAGATTTATTGGTAATCCCTCAACCTATTATAGAATGTAACTGAGTATAACAATTAAAGTTTGTCTTGATCCAGCTCAGAGACCTGTGAAGCCATATCTAACAGCTGTTCATAAAGGCTTTGGAGGAGATTCAAACCCCACTCCACCCTGCCACTTACTGATTATTTAGGTAGAGGAGAGGGGGATGCATAGAAAAGATCAGGACGGTAATTGTGTGAAGGGATCGGGACCAAATTCTCAGGCCCGAAAGGCATAGTGCCTAAGGCTCAGAATACTTTTAGAGGCTCATGACATTTTTTTTTTTTTTTTGAGACAGGGTGTCACTTTGTAGTTCAGGCTGGCCCTGAACCCATTATGTAGCTCAGGCTGGACTTGAACTCCTGGTGATCCTCCTGCCTCTGCCTCCTGAGTGCTGGGATTCAGGCGTGAGCCACCACACCCAGCTCTCATGACAATTTTATATTTAAAATTGGCAGTGGCAGTGGGGGGACTTAAACATTGAAGAAAATTTTCAAATATATTAATATTTTTTCTAAACCACTAGAAAGTTGTTTTTTTTAATAGAAGAAGGTTTACATTAAGACAAAACCCATGAGAGTCCTCATGGAGCCCTAGAAGACTCACCAGAATGCTCCTCTAACCTTCCCTCTGGACAGTAACAGAAAGATGGTTGGCCTCTACCCTATCATTAAATGCACTACCGTTAACAAGCCAAGAACAGAAATGAGGAAATGCTGCCCTCCAGGGTAAGATACGGCTTCCCACCCAGGGTTCACCAAGGGGAAGGCTGCCGATAAGGATGGTCAAGTCCTACACAATAGCCTGGGGGTGAAGGGGTGCTTGAGCCCCTGGGTGGTAGGATGTGATGAGACAAGGGTTGCAGACAGAAGCAGGAGATCCCTTTCAGATGCTTTTCTTCTACTGTAGCCGTCACATGTCAAGCCTAGAGTTGTTTCCAAGAGTCCTACCATAACCCTTCAGGAAATGAGTAAGTGAGCCAGGGAGTTCCACCCCGGGCCTCAGCAGCAGCTGTTATCTCTCTGGATGGCTCGTTCTTGGAGTGCTTCTGCCCTTAGCCTAGACTTTCCTCACCATTCTCTCTGACTGGGGCCAGGC